CAAGTACGGATAGCTGAAGGTGATGAGTCAAAAACTACTTGTGTTACAAGGTATGGCTCATATGAATTCCTTGTTATGTCGTTCGGGTTGACGAATGCGCCTGTTACTTTTTGCAACCTGATAAACGATGTGATGTATGAGTACTTGGATGACTTTGTGGTTGTCAATTTAGATGACATTGTTATCTACATTGTATATCCTTTGGCAACAAGACGGGCCTTAAGTCGATCAACCTGGCCATCGGGACCAACTTTGACTGTATAAACCCAACGACAACCAACAGTAGATTTACCTAAAGGAAGAGGAGCAAGCTCCCAAGTACCACTTGTATGTAAAGCAGACATCTCGTCACTCATAGCATGTCGACATCTTGGATGAGACAACACTTCACCTGTAGACTTTGGGATGGAAACCTAAAGACAAAGAAGATATAAAAGCATAATGGGGAGATGACGGACGATGATAACTTAAACTGACATAATGAGGATTAGGATTAAGTGTGGTCCGTATACCTTTCCGAAGTGCAATCAGTGTACTAGGAAGAGACAAGTCCACAGTAGGAGCAGGGTCAGGTGCAGAACGAGAACCAGTTGGGCCTTATGTAGGATGCGGACGACGATGATAAGTCAAGAGTGGTGTTCATGTGGCTGGGGATCTAGGAAGAACAACACTAGACTCCTCAATGATTGGTATGGGTGAAACTTCTGTGGTCGAAGTGGAGGAGGAGCTATAATAAACTCCTCAAAGGTCGGTATAGGTAAGACCTCAGATATATCATGGTGGTCAGCAGAGGCAAAGAAAGGTTTAGACTCAAAAAATGTGACGGTCACCTGACATAAGGTACCTATGAAGATCAGGTGAATAACAACGATATCCCTTCTGAACACGAGAATAACCAAGGAAGACACACTTGAGAGCACGAGGAGCTAACTTATCTTTCTCAGGGGATAAGTTACGAACAAAACACATGCTCCCAAAAACACGATGTGGAAGAGAGTATAACGGTGACTGTGGAAATAATACTAAATGCGAAATCTGATCCTTGATGGGAGATGAAGGCATCCGATTAATCAAATAACAAGCTGTGAGAACTGCATCGCCCCAAAAACGCAACGGAACACGAGATTCAATTAGAAATGTGCGAGCAGTCTCAAAAAGGTGTTTATTCTTTCTCTCCGCAACCCCATTTTGTTGAGGGGTATAAAGACAAGATGTCTGATGAATAATTCCTAGAGAAGTCATAAACTGTTGAAACTGAGAAGATAAATATTTTAAGGCATTATCACTGCGAAAAATGCGAATGGAAACACCAAATTGGATTTTAATTTCAGCACAGAAACTCTGCAATATAGAAAATAACTCAAAACGATCTTTCATTACGAAAAGCCAAGTACATCTTCAATAATCATCAATAAAACTAACAAAATAACGAAATCCCAAGGTTGAACTGACTCTACTAGGACCCCATATATCAGAATGAACTAAGGAGAAAACAGACGCTGCATGACTCTCAACACTACGCGGAAAGGAGGCTCGGGTATGTTTCCCAAGTTGACACGACTCACAATCTAATGTAGACAAACTAAATAAACTAGGCACCATCTTCTGAAATTTAGATAAACTCGGATGTCCTAAACGTCTGTGGATTAGGTCTGGAGGATCTGTAACTAGAAATGTTGTGGAAGGACTGAGTGAGTTAAGGTAGTAAAGGCCTTCTGATTCACGTCTTGTACCAATTGACTGTCCCGTACGGCGCTCCTGCATAATAAAAGAATCGTCAATAAAATATATACCACAATGGAGGGCACGAGTCAAACGACTAACAGATGCAAGACTAAAAGGACAACCAGGGACATAAAGAACGGAATCTAGGGTGATAGAAGACAAGGGATTAGCTTGTCCATCTTCTTTTGCCTTGGTTTGACATCTATTAGCTAAAGTAACAGTGGGAAGAGACTGTGAATATACAATATTTGACAAAAGTGATATATTACCAAAGATGTGATCAGAAGCGCATGAGTCCATAACCCATGGTCCAAGAGTACTAGGCTGGGAAACACAAGCAAAAGAATTACCAGTAACAGAAGTATCAGTCTGAGCAACCGAGACTACTTGTGGAGATGTCTGCTTACTTTCTCGATACTGAAGGAGCTCATTATATTCTTCTTTAGATAAAGAAAATCCCTGGTTACCTGTAGTCTCGATCTGAGCAATGTAAGCATTTTTGGGTGGACGACCATGTAAGGAATAGCACATTTCACGAGTGTGTCCAAGTTTGTGACAATAAGAACACTTGGGTCTATATCTTCCAAAACGACCTCCTCCTCGTCTATTCTCCATAGTTTGAGATGCCCGAACATCCACTGTCTGGGATGCGAGAACAGAGGAATCAAGTATTTGTGATGAGATCACTGGGTGACTTGGTGTTGCAGCAAGGCGGAGTAATCGAGAAAATAATTCATCAACTGTGGGGACAGTCGGACTAGCCAAAATCCGGTCGCGTACAGAATCAAGATCATTAGGAAGTCCAGCGAGGGTAAGAACTAGAAACATCTCATGTCGCTGCTCTTGTTGTTTTTCAACACTAGCAGAAACTGCATCAACTTCTCAAACTCCTCCATGATTGTCAGTACTTGACCCAAGTAAGTAGACATATCTAATTCCTGTTTCTATAAGTTTGTCATCCGCGATATCACATCATAGAAGCGTGATATGTCAGTAGTGTATAAGGTGCGAGCCTTTGCCCAAACCAAATAACATGTCTGGAATGGACGAAACAAGGGCATCAACTTGGAATCAACAGATCGCCACAAGATGCTATATAACTGAGCATCGATCTTTGCCCAAAGTGCTATCGCCTTTTCATCTCCTTCGCTAGACTATTTGATTAGATGATCTTGAACACTTTGACCTCTACACCACAACTCGACAGATGAAGCCCAAGCTAAGTAGTTTTAACTTCCCATTAAAGATTCTAAGGTAATCATAACACTATAGCTTCCAGAACTCATGTTTCTAGACCCAAAAACATCAAATCCCAAAGACATCGTTGCAAATTATTACCAAATAAGAGACAAATCAACTGTAATCCACTGAAACAGAGTAAGAAAACACTGAAACAGAGTAAGGAAACACTGAAACAGAATAAGGGAATAATGTAGATTCACTTACTGTAGCTGCCGAAAAAAACTCAAAGTGGTTGGAATGAAACGAAAACAATAAGCGTAGGATCGGAATTACCAGGCGACCCAACTGTTCTGAAGGAAGTTTTTCAAAAAATGGCCGGAAGTAGCCGTACGCGCCGGCGCGTGAGCTCACACGCGTGAGCTTCTGGTGGCGCATGGGGGCGCGTGAGGAGGCTGATGCCGGAGATTTTGACTGGGGTTTGGTCGCCGGACAATGACGACTCTTGTGGTAGTGTTGGATTTTGCACAACACTGACGGAGACAAAGAAGACACAAACAGCCTTGAAAAAGTCGCCGGAAAAAGACTTCCGGTGACTAATTTCTCTTCCCGGAGTCGCTGGAATTTATGCGCAGCGATAAATCTCTCACGATTGCTCTGATACCATGTGAGAAAGCACGGGAGAAAATATGTTATTGATATTAGACAAATAATACAATACAAGAGGTCCTTATTTATAGTTATACACTATAAGGACTTATTACTCCTATTCCAATGCGGGACAAGACTATATACATATTTGTAAACTAACAACAAATATCAAATCAGTACTAACCCCAGTTCTATACTTTTGGGGCGTTATATAGTTTTGAAAGGCGGAGATAATGTATTTTAAGCAATAACAATAATTTAAAAACAAAAATCCTTAACTAGGAGATAAAACACAATGGACCAACCTCCTAAGAAAAGAAGAAAAAGAAGTTGCTCCCACTTTAGGCAAATGCATATGTTGGGACTATTTTTCAATTATATCATATTATATTAGAATGAGACATTTATGTTGTGTAATCTTGGATTTGTTTTCTTCTCTGTCATTTTGGTGACTGGCCAGTTTAGTTGATTTGTTTCTTTATTATAACGGCGAATACTGATAAGAAAGCAAAGAAAATATGAACAAAGTACAACAAGAAATTTTCGACAATTATAAAACTACTACTACTTTTTTCGGTGAATTGTTCGCACTTACGAGTTGAAGGCGCGCAAATTAGATCTCTTATATCGATCTACATACAATGACACATTCGCTAAACCTCAACATTAAATACAAAAAGAAAGTGAAAACAAAACGCAAATGCTAGCTATTTCATGCATTGTTTCCTGAAATTTCAAAATATCACAAAAGTTTGTCACTATGTATTAGAGACGGGCTCTAAGCAAATCAAAGACTTGTATCCTTTATCCCCCACCTCTCTATTAATTTCAGATAAACGACTAATAGCCTGTTTGGCCAAGCTTTCTTTTGGGCCAAAAGTGCTTTTTCAAAAATTGAGGTGTTTGGCCAATCTTTTAGAAAGAAAAAAAGTGTTTTTGAGGAGAATCAGAAGCAATTTTTGAGAAGCAGAAAAAAGTAGCATCTCTACAAAAGCACTTTTAATACACTTAGAAGCAATTTTTAAAAGCTTGGCCAAACACTAATTACTGCTCGAAAGTGCTTTTCAAATTAATTAGCCAAACACAAACTGCTTATCAGTACTTTTGAGAAAGGCACTTTTCAAAATAAGCTGATTTTAGAACCTTGGCCAAACAGGCTATAAGTGATACTTAATCAGTTCCCAGCAGATTATGGGTGAGAAAATTTAAAGTAAAAATAAGTACATCTAATACCTCGCATAAGGAGGAGGCCAGCAGCAATACCAATTCCCCCAGCCATAGCAGGGTGCTCTCTCGCAGTTACCAACTCATCTGAAAGGATAGATTGGAGCAAGGCGTTTATAAGAGAAAAATCCATTTACCAAGTTAATCTCTAAATCAAATTCTTATTATAATATCAATAAAGTCACAATGGTCTTGTCGAATTCTGAAGGGCAACAATAAAAAGTAAGGATACTAAGGAACAAAGGAGATAAAACATTCACACATTCCTTTTTATTCCCTCGGAAAAGTAAAGAGTACATTGAATGAAGTACAACAGTAAAGGAAGAAAAATAGGAACTAGCCAAATCTAAAGGCTAATGAAGGCTTACACAAAGAACAAAGAAAACTGAAATACTAATCAGCTCCTTGAACAGCTTTTTCCTTCCCAAGGTAGCACGCAGAGCCACTTTATCATGTTCATCAGTAAAGATTCTCCCTAAAGCATCGACTACATTTTTTTTAATTGCAATGACCCCCTATCAAGCAAAGCAGTCTTCATCTCAAAATTTCTTATAGATTTACCAATGCTGACTCCCAGCCATGCCAATGAAGATTCCTTGCTGGAATAAGACATCGCCCGATAGATATTGAAGAAAGCATAGAGCGTAATGCAAAGGTCATGCAACATCTCAAAATGGAGATTCTCTTCATACAAATATAGCAGGAAATCATTTACATTACATGCATGAGAAGGCAAGTTTGTTGAAGACTGGTAGCATCTACAAACCATGAGGGTTCACTTGTTTTTGAAAATATGTAACAAAAGCTCATTGACCAACAAATGATGAATAAAATTCAATTTACAAGGCGTTCAGGAGGATAGAAGCATAATAGTCCATAATAACTATAAGAAGGCAACTGCAAGTTACCTTTAATTTTCGTGAAGAAAACTTCTTCATATGTTGTATACTGGGCCTTTATCTTTGGCATAAAATCCTGGAACACATTACTTATAGATTAGACATGCCAAAAAAGATAAAATAACATGGAATGATTTAGATGGAACTCTGGAAAAAATAGATTTTAGGCCTAACTCAACCTCAAAAGCTAGTTGATGAGCTGACGATTGCCCAAGACAATATAAGGAAACAACAACTCATTCTCTCAACCAATGTGGGACCGGTGTTGTCAAAGGCTCACATAAAGGCACATTTAAGCCCTGAAAATGTAGGTGCAAATCAATTGTGTGCTTCGTTTGCTTAGATGGTGCTTTACTTTAGTGTTGGCACTAAGTTGTGCACCTCATCCCCACGGGCTCAGTCTTGAAGATTGTGTTGTTAAAAGAGAATTATTTCTTCTAACAATAATTTTAATAATTTTTTGTCCAAATAATTGTTGTTTGTGTTTAATAGTTATTATTTTTGAACTACATATAATTTTTTTTAATTGTTCACACACAATTTTTTATTTTTTCTTCATCAAAGCACATGCTTTATATGCACTTTGTGCTTAAAGCCTTGACAGATTTCAGCACTTTTTCTCAAGTTTGGCCTTTAATAACATTGAGTGGGATATCTAACACCTGCGCAACCCCCCCCCCCCCAAAAA